GGTGTCGGTTCTTTTTTGTTAGGGGGCTTCTCCTGCTGACGCCGGGGCGTGACACTGTGGAATTTTGAGAAAATGTTTTAAGGGACCCGATGGTGTAGACCTGCAACAGTACGATCCTTCTATATAGGGGCCCCCTAAACCCTAACGAGAGACCAGTATCGCTGCAGACCTTGCCAGGCTTTGTCCGAGAGTGAGTGTCAAAAAAAACCTAAACCCCAAAAGGGGGGGGCCCCCCCCAAACTCCTAAAGTTTTTCAGGGACCCGTTTTGTATTTAAAGGGCCCCCTAAACCCTCAAAGGTACCCCCTGAACTCCTAAACCTGATCCCATCAATAGGGACCATTAATTTCAAGTCTCTGAACAGCGCAGGATGGCAATGCCGCGGTCTACTACAAGGCGAGCCCCGAAGGTCCTAGGTTCCCAAACCATAATAGTCATTCCTAATATAGAAGCTCCATATTCTATAGCATAGGTATGTACCGTAATAGTAATTGCTAACATAGAAGATCTATATTTTATAGTATAGGTACTTACTTCGCATCCTTTGGCGAGATCAGGGCCAGAAAGAAGGACGAAGGGGTTTACGAGTACAGCCGTTGCGCTAGTTGGGTTCAGGTCAGGATTTTGGAATTTACGGTGTAGGGCTTGATATTCGTGAAAGTCGCGGGCAGCTTGTGGCATATCACATAACATGCGATTGACAACGTTTCTTCGGCAGGTAGCAACTGTGTCACTTCCAGAACCGTGTTACGCAGACGGCATGTGTGTGTATCATTAATTATAATAAACATACAAGTAAAAGATAAAAAATAGATAGATAAATCTATCTATATATATATATAGAGATACATATGTATATATACATACATACATTTATGCCATTATTTATGTTTTCAGATATGTACAGAGAGAATACCCACTTGTCAACATGCGGGCCGGCCTGGATGGGTGTGCGCAGGTGATCTTAGTCGTGTTCAGCCTCATCACAACTTCAACACGGGCATCAACATTAAACGGCCCCCCTATTGTCCTACCTGCAGCCGTCTCATTTATCACCGGCTCCATCACCATTTCCCCGTTAGCATCGTCGTGCTGGTGTCGTTTGCTAGAGGAGCACAATAAGCATTTGTTCATGCAGCTCTTTAAACACTTGTGTTTTGCCAACCCTGGTTTTAAGGAAGTATATGCCGGCATACTCCTGTATGCCCTCCCCTTCATATCCGTAATGACCGCCATCTTTTAAGCCATCCTCGCCATGTTCGTCTCCACGTCACGAGGACGTTAGTCCTTACTCGCCCATCACATCCGAGTCACAGCCATCATCTTCATCACAACTGCGCGGTTTTGTTGCGGATGTTTGCGGTCTCGGCAGGGCACATGGCAGTGTTAGGGGCAGTTGGGGCCGTGAAAGTGACTGTGGTCACGGACGAGCAGGAGTTACAAGGGCTCATGTGTTCAATAACCCTTAGCCGCCTTAACCCTAATCAAATAAACTGTAAAGCAGTGAGTCTAAGATCTCCATGAGACCACGACAAAGGTTTGTGAGCTTAAGGAAGAGGACTGAGCCGTTAATCAGTTATGACATCCGTTTACTGTCCCCAGATCAGACCCCGGCAATATAATATACTCAAGAGCCCGAGGGTGCACAGATAGTGAAAAAAAGTTGTAAAGAACCGTAGGCGCGAAGACCGCTCAAACCCTACAAACATCTAGAAGCCCTCCGAAGCTGAAACTCCCCAAGCCCCTCAATTTTTTCCCAATCGCTTGTCTGCTTTGTAAGTACCCCTACACGGATGTTCACACTCACTCCTCTAAGCGCCCTTAAGTGCCACCCCAAGCCCTCTAAACCCTAAACCCCTAACCCTGAGCCCTAAATCCTGAAACTCTAATTCCCTAAACCCTACAACAAGCGAGACCTAACGCCCAGTGAGAGCTCACTTTCTGGATCCTGCGAGACGGAAAAGGGTCGTGCAAAAAAAAAACCCTTAGCTTGACTTGTGCACCCGAACACAGCGACCTCGTCTGGCGAGTCCGAGTTGCGAGAGCATAAACCCTAAACCCCTTAACCCCTAAACTCAATATCCCTAAACCTTAGGGTTCGGATCCTCGCCTGCTTGTCTAGTTGTGAGTGCTGAAGCCTTAAACCCTAAACCCTTGAGAGGCGAAAAAGGGCCGTCAAAAAAACAAAAAACTCAGCTTCGGCGAGGCTGCAGCTGAGCTCAAGTCATGGGGTGGCAAGTACCAGGAGGCGAAGGCGGGCTTGGCTTTCGGGTGTGAGGGTCTCAAGGTTTCAGGGTTTAAGGGTTTAGAGGGTTTGAAGGGTGCAGGGTTCTAGGACAAGCCTGTGCAAAAAGGGTCATAGGATTTAAGCGCGGATACCAGTCCTTCCCGGTACTGTCGCTGCAGAGCGGATGCAAAACGGGTTTAAGGCTAGGTTGGAAGCAAAACATAGGATGAACGAGCCCAAGGGTCTCAGTTTTTTTTTGTTGGATTTTGGTTTCGATTTCGAGTTTAGGGGGCGGCCGGGGTTGGGGAGTTTAGGATCAGGGTTTAGTACTTAGGGTTTCAGTGTTTAAGCTTTAGGATTTGGGTGTGAAGAGTTACGAAAGTTTTTTGTTTTAGGGTTGTAAAAGGTCACGAAATGCCTGGGAGAGAGAGTGAGAGAGAGAGAGAGAGAGAGAGAGAGGGTGGCAAAGGTTGGGATTTAGTTTAGATTATTGCTGTGACTTGGCCCAGTACTTTGGTCATGGTTAGAGCAAGCCGTTGGTGTTGCAGATGTAGGAAATAATGAGAACCCTACCTGGGCCCTGCACAACCTACCTTTTTCGAGGTTCCCGAAAATTTTCATTTCCCTGTGAAAGTTTTAGAACGGTAGGTCATTTGGAGCCAAGGTAAACCCTAACGAACTCCGAACCAGACCTTTTGAGATCCAGTCTTCCTGGCTACTACGTGGGCTACTATGGCGGTACTACACGGGTTGCTATATTCTAGGGGCCTTAATGATTGCAATAGGGTTTGGGGTATATTATACTCTTAGTTACAATAACGAACCTTCAAAACCCTATTCTATTTATTAAGGCACCCACATTATGGGGCCTACAAGCCCCGGTTATTGCTTGTGTCCGACGGGCTCCAGGAACTTTTTGAGGAGGCCATCCCGCTTCTGAGGGCAGAAACGCCCGCTTCTTGGAGACACGATGTGGGAGTTTCCGAGAATGAGGGGTACCTCATTTTGGGGTCCTTACACAACAAGGATCCTACTGTTTAGGGTACTATATTAGGGTCCCCTATCTTCGGAAACTGCCATGTACATGGGGCAAGCGGGAAATTCGGCCTGAACCCTAAACCCGAGTGTGAGCGCCGAAACCTCAAACCTACCTAAACCCAACACCCTAGTCCTAGACCATTTCGGGCTTCAGCGTGTTTCAGGCTTTTGCCCTCTTGGGCTGCAGGCCCTATTGTAGGGGCCTCAATTCAATGGTTTTGAGGGTTCCTGATTATGATTATATTATATTGGAATTTAAAACCATATTCTAACTACCAAGGCCCTAAACCCTAAACCCATGAACACTCTCTGTAGGTATGTTTCACTGAACAGGCTCCGGGCCATATGCCTCGCCTGGACCGAGTATGAGCGCCAAAGCCTAAACCCTACATTATGGGTATTTAATATGGGTAGTTCTCTAACCTAGGGTCCTGTTTATAAGGGCTCCGTACTACTTGGGGGACGTAAAAATTGAAAGGGATCTTTTTTTATAGAGAACTGCTCATATTGGCTCTAGGGTTTCATTCGGGTTTAGGAAAATTGTAAACATGTTTAGTTAGGGTTGATTGTTAATCTTGCTATTGCACATTAACTCCCTGTTCCTGCAAGTGTACAGGCCTATGCTGACTCTTGAAATTAGTTCCAGGTCAGTTTAGCTTTAAACGTTTGAAAGTGAGGGTGTCATTCCTGGCAATGCTGGCGGTCACCAGCACAAGAATGCAGCATAGTAGAAGCCTCAAGCACGGGGCCTGCGTAAGTTTCTACAGGGGTTTATCTAGGGCATCTAGGGTTTCTATGTATGTCCATTGGCTCCATTGGATTACTGGTGCCTGATCACTAGACTTGGGTTTGGGTGGCTTCTATACTATTCTCTGAAACCTCGTCTGACTTGTCGAGTGCGAGTGACAAAAATACTATAGCAATTAAGTTATAGTTGGGAGCCCTAGATGCTAACCCTAAGGGTCCATGTACTCATATAGCATATACATTGGCCTTAAGGTACTCCCTATATAGATACATTGGGCCCAAAAGTATATGCTATATGGGTACATGGACCCCCAGGGTATCCTGAGCATTCGCAATTCCAGCAACAAACCCCAGCTAGTCTGCAAGTCGCCGCTCCCCACACAGGCGTGCATGGACTGGACCAATACGCCCTAAACCTCGAATCCCTAAACCCTAAATCCCAAACCCCGGCCCCCTCAACCCTAAGCCCCGAACCCCCAAACCTTTGTGTTTTGGCGTGAGGGGTTTTAGCATGGCCGGGCCTTTTCTGAAGGAGAGTCTGGGCTAGGACTCAAACTTAACCTTTGCTCAGTGCCTAACATAATATGGGAGTTTCCGCAAACAAGGCGTACCTTATTTTGGGGTCCTTAGAATAAGGATCCTACAGTTAAGGTGCTATATTGGGGTCCCCTACTTTTGGAAACTCCCATATTGTAGAGTTCGAAGCCTCAGGGGAGGGAGGGACAGAGAGAGAGAGAGAGAGAGGGAACTGCGTGTGGGGTAATTGCTTGTGGCATTATAATCCCCATCCATCCAACCAGCCAGCCAGAATCATGTTTTGCAGCCAAGATGAGCGAAAGAGAGAGAGAGAGAGAGAGAGAGAGAGGCCTGCTTGTAACAAATGCAACATGTGAGACCGCACAGTACATGTATGCTCAAAAGTGCATGGGGCGTAAAGGACGTGGCCGAATCTGGCCTGCTCCAATTGGTAGCGTCAACCTGAGCGTCCAATGGAAGGGCGTGTCATCGGCAATGCGCAGGCATCGTCAGACTCCATCAGCCACTTCCTCTCCCTGATGACACCGGCGGCTGACGATGTCATCCGGTCCACGAAGGCATACCTCCCGCTCAAGAACTTCGGCATGCCTCTAAGAAAGCCGGAAACAGAGAAGGGGTGGCATCACTTCAGTGAGGTGGCAAACGAGATTGAAGCCTTTTGGAGCCATAGTTGGCACGGCAGGGCCTGGCAGAAGATCCTTACGCTTTTGATCCTCTACAACTCCCGGAGGGCCATGGCGGTCGCATCTTTCGGCGCCTTGCTTGCCAGCTGCCTTTATGCAGCTGAAGTTCTGCCGGGTTATGATGTGACGGTAGATGAAGACCATTTCAACTCTATCTGGGCCCTTGCAACTGGTTGCTGCCTCTACTTAGTGCTCTTGTGCGGGGGTCGACCCCGGGAAGGTGTTTTCTTGGATGTCGTGTGCATCGATCAGCTCGACAGGTCTCGTAAACTCCTGGGAATCAGGAGCATCGCAGCCCTGATCAAACGAACGAAGGCTACTTAGATCCCCAATACCCAACCTTTAAACTTTTTGGGTTCTTATAGTTTAGTAGGAATCGGAAAGTTTAACCTTTTGTTTCTGTGGCTCATTGGGGGAGTAAGGCTATGATTGTGCTGTGGGATTCCACCTTCTCACGACGTATGTGGTGTTTGTTCGAGCTCGCGGCTTTCCTCCACAGCCGTTCTCCCGGTGAGAAACCGCGGCTCATCATTCGGCCCACGATCTTCGGCCCTACCTTGTTTTTTCTGACCGTCGCAATGGCACTGTTACAGGCTATTGTCATGTTGATGCAGGATTTCAGCAGCACCGCTTTTCCGATGGAAGGCATTGTGGTCTGTGTAGCCTGCTATGTGAACGTTGTTACGTACCGAAGCTATTTTCGGTCCATCGAAGAGCTCCAACGCCAACTTCGTGCATTCTCGGTCCAAGATGCGACCTGCTACTGCTGCAGCAAGGGACACCGGAACCGTTCGGCTTGTGATAAGGACATGCTTCTGGGTTGCATCACTGTGTGGTTCGGCAGTGTTGAAGTCTTCGAAGAGCGTGTGCGGACGGACGTCTTAGACTGCCTTTTGACACAGCTTTCTCAAGACTTTTTCTCTTACAGGCAGTGCATTGTCGCTTTGTGCCCCATCTTATGGTCTGGTCTGGACTTCGCATCGGGTGGTTGGCTGTGGTGCAAACACTTGAATCAGTTGCCTGGCTCGGATGGATATTGTGGAAACTCGGAAAGGGGGTCACCGGCCGCCTTCCTGGCAAATTGGTTGATCCGTGCTGCTGTGTGGTGGCTCGGTGCCGTGCCGTTGAACGTACTCCTTGGCATGAGGGCCATGTATTATCTGCGAAGGAAGTGCCGACGGCGGATGCTAGATGAGATCGTCAACTTGGTCATCCTGCTCTTCATCGCGGCCCTGACTGTAGGCATGACGGGGCTGGAATGGTATTGTTGGCATGTTTTGAGGTATATGCTCCCAGTCTCGTATGATTACATGCAAATGTGGACCGGGATGGTTCTCTTTGGTGCATTCGTGTTTCCCTTTACTGCGTGTTTCTTTTCCTGCTCCGGCTGGAACTGGGGCAAGGTGGCCCCGAGCCATCTTGCCGGTACGTCGGCAATGCGGCATGAAGCTGTATAGCCTGACCCTTAACTTCCTACCCATAGGCTCCGAAGTAGTTCCTTTTTGGGATTACCTTAAAGGATTCTATATATGAACCTCAAAAAGGAACTACTTTGGGGCTTTGGGGTATACACTCATTACTCCAAACTCGAAGCATGTCCCTAAGCCCAAACCCGTGAAGTGCGAACATCCAATGGCGCAAGTCGGCCTGCATCGTTGTCTCACCCCACTTCAAATGCCCACAAGTTGCTACCTTTGGGTCCGATCGGCCCCTGCAATCCGGAAGACCACATCAAAGTCTGATGAATCCTGGCGGTCGTGTGCTCGCTTGGTCCGCGATAGACTAATTACAGTACAGAGGTATCAGCTTGCGGGTTCCGTTTTAATATAGTATAATGGCCCCAACTGTTCTATTTATTAAGGCCCCCATATTATAGCACCCTACTATGGATCCCTTATAGACCCCCTTGAAGGACCATTTCAAGGAACCTTATTCTAATCATTAAGGCCCCAGGTAATGTCTGGACCCTACGGAACCTACCTTCTTAGGGCCCCCCTAATATGATTTCTTTATATAAGTCCCTAAACAGGTAGGTTACGTGGGGTTAAGGTAAACCCTAAAACCCTAAATCCTGAACCCTAAACCCTAAAACTCTATAAACCCCAAACCCAAAAACCCTAAACCCTAAAACCCTAAACCCCATATCTTCCATTGAAAGTGCACTTGCACATGAGGTGCGGGGTGATTTCGTGGGTTTTGGCTGCGGTTTCCGGGCGATTCCTGTAGTGACCAAGCTGTGAGCCAGGTACTCCAGGCTAGATTTCGGATGCTTCGCGTATTTAGTATGCACCAAAGTTCTTTGAAGACATGCACCGCCGAGTGTTTGAAGTGGCGGCGATGCTCTTCCACGGGTACGCACCGCCCTTGCAATCCACGGCCAAGGATAGGACTTTAGCAAAGGAGCATCAGCCCAGAACCCGTCAACCTAAACCATGCAACATGCAGGGCTACACCCTAAGAAAAGATTTTCAATCCGCCGAAACCCTAAGTTTTGAGATCTTCATAGCTCACCTATCATAGGCCCCATAGTAGCCCCTTTTTGGGATTGCCTTATAGGATTCTTTTTATGAACCTCAAAGAGGAATTACTATGGGGGTCTATGGGTAGAGCATGGAACCCCGGGGGCCTGTGGTTCGTGACTCGAACCACCCAGAGACTCCAATATCCCTTAATGGCCCTTAATTAAGGAATATACCTTAAATCATAATAGGATCCCTTATATGACTTAAGGTATACCTTAAATTATAGTAGGATCGCTAACATGATTTAAGGTATATTCCTTAATAAAGGGATATTGGAGTCTCTGGGCAGAGAACTTGCGGATCAGCTTGTCGTGAAGCCTTCGCCAGCCATGTGGGAATGTTCTTGACAGGAGTACCCAGAGACTCCAATATCCCTTCATCAAGGAATATACCTAAAATCTTTTTAGGGATCCTACTATAATTTACGGTATAGTCCTTAATTAACGGATATTGGAGTCTCTGAGTAGTACCTGCGTTAGGGCTTCTTCTAGGAAGGGTCTTACTGTTTCGGGGTCGGGGTTCATATTTGGGTCCTCTCTTCGAAAGCCCACGTGCGAGTCTTTGAATCGAGACCTTGCACTGCGGAAGCTTCTGTGATGCGACCCGTGGTGGAGAAATGGATCCGGGGTCGGCATGCATGCTCACACTTTTGGGTTTTAGGGTTGAGGGTTTGGGGTTGGGCCTCTTGTTCACTGTTATGTGCACTCATCAGTGAATTTTATTTCACCATTCTTGATTTCAAGGTCGCCGCACATACTCCATAGTTGCCATCGTTCTCTGCATGATTTTCCTGGTTCGTCTCTGCTTCGGTGGGCAGAGGGAGCTCTTGGGGGACGAAAGGGTTTAGGAATTTCGATTGACTGTCTCCTAAACCCCAAGTCCTAAACCCTGAACCCTAAGCCCTAAACCTCAAAACCTAAGCAACCCTAAATTCTATACCCCAAGTCCTAAACCCTGAACCTTAAGCCCTAAACCTCAAAACCTAAGCAACCCTAAATTCTATAACCCCAAGGCCTACGTATAAAATCCCTAGGCCGACAACCCTGCCTTGGCTTTCGCCTCGATGTGGCCGGTAACCTGTTACACACTGCACCCGTACTGTAGTAGGGTTTAGGGTTTAGGGTTTAGGGTTTAGGGTTTAGGGTTTAGGGTTTAGGGTTTAGGGGTCGGTAGGATTGCCAATACTCGTGCTTAGACTTCCTCGCCAAGATGCCTATCCCAATGATTAGGCACCGATAGAAAGCCTGAAGGGCTCGAGCCGTGACATCCTAAAGCCTTGCGTCCTCGAAAGCTTCATATAACCTCTGAACACCAAAAGCTCGACAGCACAAACAAACCCTTAACCCTCAACCCCCAAAGCTTACAGTCCCGGGAGGATGAACCTACCATCAAACCCATAGGGGCCTATATACCCAATAGCCCCATAGCCCTCAACCCTAACCTTTCAATCCTAAACCCTTAACTTCCGAAAGCCCTAGGCCATATAAACCTTCAGCCTGCAAGCACTAAGCCCTGAACCCAAAGCCCCTCAACGGAAAAAAAAAAAAAAAAAAACCTCATTCCTAAACCCCACTGCAGTCCCTAAACCCTAAACCCTCAGGAGGCAAACAAAAACCCACTGCAGTCGTCTCCTCAGGACGACGGACTGCTCGGGTCTCCTGGAGAGTTGCGAGGACTCCACCCCCCAGGGCTATGTGCTTTTTTGAGCCCTGCTGAATGCTTTCTTTGTCGGGGTTCTTGAGTGCAGGATTTAGCGTTGCATTAGCTTGGGTTGCAGGGTTTCTGGTTTGTTCTTGCGGTTCAGATCTTTAGAGAACATGAGATCTCAGGGGCACGCTTAGTCTTAGTCTTGGAGCCTTGGAGTCCAGCAGTTTCGGTTTGGAAGGATGCAGGGTTGTTTGGAAGTCGTATTTCTTATTAGGGCCATAGGGTCGTTTATGATTATTATGATTATTATTATTATGATTATTATGATTATTATTATTATTATTACTATTATATTTTTTGTGCCGGCATATGCCCCAAGACCCCGTTAATTTTCTACCTCGCTATTAATCTAGAGGATGTGGTCTAAGAGCCCCAACTTCCGCGACTTCCCAAAATCCGAAGACTAAGCCCCTAAGCTCTCAAGTTTCCTGTGTTGCCTCTCCTTCCTTTGCCATAGTTGGGGCTCATTTTCCATTTTTATGGGTACTTAAACCCAACAAGGAATAAACATGTAGATTTTTAATACTACCCCAACCCTGAACTAGTCCTTCTTTGCAGGCCCTGAAGGCTTTCTGCGACCGCAATCTCCAGGGAACGCAGGACTCATCAGGGTTTACTTGGAGGTTCATGGGGAGTTATAAGTGGGGTGATAAGTAAGGTAGGTATAGTTATAACCCATAGTAGGGGACTTATAACCCCACTTGTATCTGCCCATGAACCTCCAAGTAGGGCTTTCAGGGTTCAGATCCGTGTGTTACGGGGTGCGGGATCTACCTAGACCCCAAGATCTTTAAGCATGTGGTCTATTCGGGTTTACAATAGGCATTGGGCTTTATGGGGTTTTTGCTGTTTCAAGGGGATCAAGGGCTTGGTGGCTCCAGGGCGGTGTAAATTTAGAGAGCTCCAGCCTCAAGAACTGGTGAAGGTTCAGGGAGAGTGGGTATGACAGCTTGTTTTGGTTTTGAAGGCCATTGATACCGACGAGTCATACCATGGTCCAATACATGATGCGTCCTTCAGATGCCTGCATGACACAGCATGTTATGGTGCTGCTGTTGCTACTAAATGACGTTTAGTGAATACGCCTTGCATTCGCGCATATCAATTCTAGACGATGCAGGCTTCGCAGCGTCGTAAAGTTGATGAGCCTCGTGATATATAGACTTGGTGTCTATGCTTGTGGCTTGCTTGCAATCATGCGTAGGCGCGTTTGCAGGCAGCGTATGCATGCCTGCCCGTCAAGATGACTTCAGTGTTTGTGCAAGCATAATGCCCTAAGCCCTAAGCCCATACCTTGAGCCCTAAGTTGCCCTAAATCTGAGATCCGAAACTGATCCGAAGTTGGCGACGGGCTTTGCTAGGGCTGCTAGGGGCGCCCTTGCCAGGACAGCCCCATGAACTTTTCGCTTCCGGAAGCCGGCGGCGACCAGGGTTCTTCAGGCGCCAACTCCCATAGGGTTTAGGGTGTAGGGTTCAGGGACCCTCAACCCTAAAACCTCAACCCCAACCCTGCAATGCCGGCTTCGTCCTTGCTAGGTGGGAGGGAAAAACCCAAAAGTTTAGTTAGGATATTTGCCGATTTGGGTTTGACGATTGGATTCGCTGCGGCTGGACAGGTTCAGAGTTTGCGCCTGATTTTAAACCTGTTGGGGTCTAAAACTCACTCAAGGCACCAGCCCTCACCGTGGAACCGAGAGCTTTGATCTTGAAGCTCTGGGCTTGTGGTTTTCGTGGTGGTTTTGGATGTTGGCTGAAGTGAGGTTTGGTCTAGAGTTTAGGCTTTCAGGTGTATAGGGGTTGGGTCGGTGCAGGCTCAGGGAGGATGTAAGATACAATCCCCCCAAGTTCCATCTGATGTATCCCTGCCTGTAGCCCAAAGATCTACTTTTTGAGGGAACTATAAATAGAAACCATAAGGAACCCCCCGGAAGCACCCCCTGCCGATCTACGTCGAGGGCTTCCCTATCCTCAGCCCGGGGCCTCCTAATAGATGGGTGGCGCACCGTCGCCGGATAGCCAAAAAACAAAGGTAGGTCTTTATTTTCGGCTAAACCCTAAACCCTAAACCCTGTCCTCCCTTCAGACTGAACGCTACGACCATGAAACCTGAAGCCGCCAGAGTTTGCAGCTGTTGAGCCCAGCGCCGCAAACCTTGGAGCTCTGGCTCACCTCGCTGTAAATCCACGTGACGCCTAGCGATTGCCTGAACCCTGGGCGTTAAAGGCCCT